GGACATGAGCAATAATCTAAACTCCTTGGAGGAGGTTATAGGGGAGTATATACATATATATATATAAATAGAAGAGTATTATATGAAGGGGGACATTCGCAGTTTAGACTAGAGCTCATGTGGGTCCCTTCAAGGGATTATGTCCTGTACAGGGATTTCGCAGGGTTATATAGGGGTTTGGCCAAAGATGGTGGAAACTACTACTTAGGGTTTAGGATATAGGGTTGTTGGTTATACGGGGACGGAAACATCAAATGGAATCAAATCAAATGGAAGCTGAGGCAGAGACATGTCCTGGATATATATATATATATTTATTTATATATATCAGTACCACAACACTGGGAACCGGGCTGACATGCTGATCGATAGGGTGTAGGGTTGCAGGGATTGGGGTTTGGTTTAGATTTTGGGCGGGTGTTCGGACGTTCAGGGTTCTCTGAGGTTTCTTGTGTAGAGGCGTAGAGATCCTCAGCCTTGTTGTGCTTAAGGCCATTTCTGCTCACGCGCATTGCTGTTTAGGACTTGCAGGTGCTGTATGCGGATTGTTGCGCGGTTCTGCAGAGAGTGTATGTGGCTCGGGCAGTGAGGGTCAATCTCATTGCTCGTCCTGGTCAAAGTCTCTGAGGTCCAGGTGATAGTCTTACAGAGGTTTCTGGGAGAAGGGCCATGGTATGCTTGCAGACTTGTGGCGGCTTCCTCAGGGGGCTTTAAGAGCCTTCAAAGCCCTGCGGCAGAGCTTATCTTTTTCAGCTTGTTCTTCATGCAGTTGGCAAAACACCGACTAGTCAGTCAGTGAATAGGCAGGGGCCTCAGGGATGGGGGCTTTGACAGACAGGGAGGACAGATCCCTGACGCCCCTCGCTAGGGTGCGAGGTTGAAACTGTTTGTGGCTGACTGAGGAATTTGGAGTTTTATCCGTTAGGGTTAGATCTTTCTGGCAAGTGCTGCCTTTAACAACCTAATGAGTTACAGTCCAATCTGCGCTGGCCCGTGGAGTTCAGAAAGCAGTCCTGAAGATGAACATGCGAAATTAAGCTCCGGAGTTGTTGTCCCACCGCAGGAACAATCGAATCCCTATATGCTAATAAGCCCTGACTTGAAGCCATAGCCTGATAGTGACATGAGAAATCCAGAATACACCCGATGGTGATTGAAACCTACAAAGCCAATTAATATAACTTGCCATTCAGGCAAGTTCCGTGTGCGAGACAGTGCCTTGTGCTGCAAGGGGGCTGGGGCTAAAGAGGCTTGATAGTTCCAACATGGCACCCAATAACATGATTCAAGTTGCACTCATTTCCTGGAAAAAAACGCCGAGGGCCCAGTATGGTTCCAAGACATCTATTCGTATCCAGGTAGAGGTTCCCTCGCCAACGATTTAAAACTACGTACCTTCGGCGGCTTACAGCCTTCAGATGCCTGTGAGCTTGATAGCAATCCACCTGAGGATTGAAGTTGCTGCAGATCCCTTACCCGGATCTCGAGATGCTCTTCCTGCTTCTGGATGAGGCCCTGGCGGAAAGCTGTGGCCCATTTCGGGGGATGTACGTAGAGGAATAAACACAAACAAGTTCACACACATGCAGTAGCTGTGGGGATTGCAGATGCCTTTTGAGGCGGTGTGATATGTCAGTTTCTGCCTCCGACATTTCAGAGATCTTGGACAGGAAAACTTCTGTGACACAAGGGCGAAAGCATGCTGGAAGCTTCGGAGAATGTCCTGAAGAATAGCATGCTTCGTTCCAAGCTTTCGCCAGACCTTACCCCACCTTGCACATGGACAATTCCCCTTGCTCGAGGACAACAAGGGCACCATCAAGTGTGACTACTTCTTTCGCGGTGTAGCGAAGCTTCGTGGCCTGGCGAAGGCCAAGGACTTGCATCAGCTGACGCCCGGCAGGATTTGTGCAGTCCGGCATGCCTATGTGCCAAGACTGGTGTTCCTGTAACATTTCAACAGCTGCCACACCCGTTCTGGACCTCAACAGGCATGATCACTGTAGCAGTAGCAGACGCCTATGTAAGGTTAGGGAACAAGAGAACTGTCATTCACACATGCTGCAGCGCCCCATCAGCGGCGTGCTGTCAAACGCTTCCCAATCGCGCTGCAAAGAAGCCTCCCGACCCTGTTAAGGCTTCACAGTCAGGACTTGGAGTCCTGCTTCTACCCTATCAGTGAATCAGATTAAAGCTGATCATCATTACCACTGGCGGTTTCTCGTATTGTCAGCGTTGTTGCAATGATGGTTGGCACTAATCCCTGCGCGTGACCTTGCACAATGTCAATTTCCGAAAATGGGTGGGCCCAATGTAGACCCCCAAACATTATAGTCCTTATTCTAGGGACCCCCAAGAAGGCAACCCTAATTTGGGCAACCCTTAGCCCTAAACCCTACACGACCCTGTAGAACCCCCATATCCCCTCTAGAGTTGCCCCTGCCTTTGGGAACCCCCCCCCCCTTCTGCGTTAGCTCGAAAGACTGGCTGAGGTCAATCGATCTCAACCGGCGAATGCTATGGGTGGATGAGTGTTCTGAGAAGATTTCAGGCTGGTGGCAAGCGTTGTTTAGGGTTTAGGGTTGATCCTTCCTGACACCATGCAACTTTACGCGCCTATTTCGGATATTGTGTGATGGTTTCCACACATAGGGCACCTGAATAGAGAACCCACACAATAATCTTATAAGGAACCCCAGAAAGGGATCCCTAATTCCCGAAAATCCCCAAGGGAACCCCTGACGCGGCACAGAAGCGAATGACATCTTGATGGATATGGTGGATCACCTCGACGAGATGGACACGCACATAGTCAAAGGACCTTTGAGCTTTTTCACATGAGTTTCGAGGGAGTTTGACGTGCTTATGATGTGGGACTGAATGCAGATTTAAAGGGGCTGCGTAAGGTTGAGATCATAGTGGATGATGGGAGGCCTGAAGCTGTTGGTGCCCTCCCTGAGTTTTTCCAGGTGGCTTGCACTAGGGCTGCATAATGAACAGGAACATTCTGGGAGAGGACTATGCCCATGTATGCCAAAGAGTTCAAGGAAGGTCATGATATAGTTCTGACAAGCGCCGCGTGGCTTTACCTCATCATTCAACTTCACTCAGTTGACGTGTTGTCGTGGTTAGGGACATGGTCTTTCATTGAAGGTCTCTTTTTCTGACCCAGCCAATACATCCCCTGTAGAGTCGCAGAGGGCTCTTTTTAGGGCATGTTGTTGGAACCTTATAGTCCCACTTAAGTAGATAGAATATGGAATTGTTCAAAATCATGATAAGATCCCCATATACCCCACATTCTGCCTACTTGAGGTTATTATATGCCTTCGAAGCTCTCGCCCAGCTGGTAGGCAGGGTAGAACGGTAGAACGTGGACTGCTGATGGGGGGCCCTATTCCTCCCTAACATATCAAAATTAGGTAGGTCTACCTATACCCCAGCAGTATGTAGAATAATGGCCTTTTGGGCTGTCTTGAGAGGTTTTGGGCTACTATTTTACTTACTTTTGGGGTCCATGTAGCCTGGCTATTAACCGCGTTATCGCGTTTCTGCCCTTATTTGTGGAGAATTCCTTGGCCGTTGGCGGCAGGAGAGTCCGATGGCAAGGATCCTGTCATCGCTGCCAGGTAGTGGCCTCAGGTGCGTAAAAGAGCCTGGCTTTGACAACATGCTTACAGAGCTGGGTAGGCCCCTGGGATTTTTAATATTTTCCCTAATGGCTCTGGTAATAAGGGACCCTACATACTAATATTTTTCAAAGGGCTTTAGGGGCCAACCCAGAGAATCGTCTTATTTGTGTGCACGTTTGTGTACGCAAAATCAGGATCAATTTGGTTTGTGCACTAGGCACAAACATCCAACTACTTTAGACAATGGATTAGCAGAGGCTACAGGTGGCGTTTCTTGGCAGTTCCCTCTTCAACTCTTTCTTGCCGCGGAGAGTGTACCTTTGTCCTATTGAGATGGGGCCTCGAGCAAGTAGACACCCTAGAGCCGGGTGGCAATGATCCGTGAGCATCTACATGAGGTTGTTGCACGCAAGTAGATTAGATAGATATTGAAAAAGGTATTTTCTTCCTAACTTATTGGCAAATGTAAAAAATGATGATCACACCTCCCTCCACACACCCAAGGCATCAGACAAATGTTAAACACCTCCATTTGGAGGTCGTGGGTAACCATGGTGATCGAAGTGGGATAGCTGTAGCCCTAGCCTGCCACATTTTCAGATCTGGAAGCAGAGCAAGGATGGTATTGGGGAGCTGCTGCACGAGTAGGCGCAATGAATTCCTCAGACATCGTTTTCATATTCAAAGCAAACAGGGACACATGCAAAACAGCACTAGGGGTACACGTAGAGTCTTTTGTAGCATACATCAGGATCTCTTTCTGGGAAATACACAAGTGGTATTTCCCTAAATACCCCAACACAGACTCCAGTATTTTATGATCCTTGCTAGTGCCGCTGCCAACAAAAAGGTACCTCTAATCTTGAGAAATCGCCAAGTAGCCAAAATGCTTTGGAACTCAGAGCCCTGCCCAGGCGTGGCCGCGAGCCCGTGTCGAAAGGCCGGGCGTTGGCAGGTATCTAGTAACTAAGGAGGCCTCAGAAAAAAAAGAAAAAAAACGCTGGCAGACCACACGGGACCTTAGGCTCTGGCAGCCTTAGGGAGGTCTCAGGGTCTTTGGTCAAGGATCCCCCTTATGTGGGAGGCCTGATGCTGTTAGGGATCCAGGATCTCTCAGGGATGCAAGAGTCTGTACCGACTCGGATACCTTCAGTTGGTTGAAGGTTTGTCTTCCCAATTTCCTGCATGACGGCGCAGTGAACCAGCCAAAGCAATGGGAAAAGACGTAATAAAGGGGCCTAATGACCTAATTGATTTCAGCATTATGGTCCTAGAGTACCTCAAACAGACTCCACATGCGCTATCCTTTCTTAAATGAGCCTGTGAAAAATGCAGGTGTGTTTCAAACAGCCTGTCCACTTGTTTCCTTGGGTAGGACGTACGGATCCAAATCAGTTCGGATCCCTCAGCGGTGGAGTAGTCCTTATGATCGTCTTTTCACCCCGAGAGAGTCTTCAGCGCAGCTTGTGGACATGGTCTTTATTTGCTCGACTCTTCATGTTTTCTGACACCCCAAGGTCAACTTGCAACATTGGACCCTAATTTAAGCCCTCAACTCTGACGCCCACGCCCTAAATCTCAAAACCTTGAACCCCAGACCCCAAAAGTGAAACCTCCCAAAGCATGTGGAGGCTTCCATGAAAGGAAGCCCCAACACAGACCTGAGCATACTCTCTTCCTTATGACAGGACTTCTTGGAATGGGTCCCTATTTTTCCGAAACCCCCATGCATCCCAAAGTGTATAAGCTCCTATATGAGCTATAGTCTAAGTTCCTTAAAGGGGGTTATATAAGGAATTATACAGGGGACTACCATAGGGTTTTTTAAGGGGGATACTAGGAGTTTAGACTATAGCTCCTATATAATCCAAGTTTCATTCATTTTGTCGCTTAATTTCTTTCGCTCTCCATACGTGGGGTCGTCCCTAACCCTACATATTTCCCATACAATCCCCTTAATTTCAGCTCTGAGATATAAATTCCTCGGAAACCCTACACCCTAAACCAAAGATGTGCCAGGGCGGATCCTTCGTGGTGTTTGGAAGGATGGTTAGAGCCTGAGGTACTTAGGGTTAGGGGCTTAATCAAAGTTCAGGATTTGGTGTTTATGCCGTGGTGCCTGCGCATTAACATGGAAAACTAGCATGGGCAGCCAGGAAGAGGATTTTAGTTTTTGGGGATTCCATGCTGAGTGCTGGGGTAGTGCAGCAAGGACCCATCAAGCTCTGTGCTGTCCTACCGCTCTACTTTTAGATCCTTCTGAAATGTCAGGAGCCCGACTTGTTACTCTGTCGTCGTCCGGCTACATCTATGTCTCCGCATGAGGGCTTCAAAACGTGTTGTAGCCAGACGGTACTGTTTGTATTGGCTGTATTGGCATATGGGTTTGTACTTCTGAAAGCACAAGCAGGGTATCGAGAGATTGCGGATGTTGATCAGAGGACGTTTCTGGTCAACTGTTTGAGTCAAGTATTCTGCTCACAGTTGATTTTGCGGCGTTCATGTTGAACTTCCTGCATCTCTGCAAGATATGAGTGATGAACTTGCAAAGATGCAGGTTCATGATTATGTTCGGCAACACATCTTAAGTTTTAGAATCCTGGCGTTAGCCGGAATCATTTTTTGACTTACTGGTCAAAGATAGGCAGCACCGGCAATGAAGCTTTTCTTTTGCCTGCTGATCAGGAAACATGCAACAGACGCTGCCTCTAGGTCGGAAAGACTGTTCCGACTTCGTAGTCTAAACTCCTTAAAGGGGGGCTATATAGGGGATTCTATAGGGGACTACTAGCACTATAGGGCTTATGAACGGGGATACCAGGAGTTTAGACTATAGCTCATATGGTGATGGGAACATACTGCCCAAACACCTCCCTGACGCCAGATAGACCTAATTAGACAGTAGTGCCCATTTTCTGTTCCACCGTCCCTATGCTACCCAGTATATGACCCTAAATAATCCCATACAATCCCTTTGTACCCCTGCATAACTCCCACACAAAAGTGTGTGCCCGGCCAGAGGTGTCCGCAGGCTGCGCATGACTGACTGACTGGTTGACTGACACAGTACCGTGATTACTTGCTGCACATACTCGGGGTCAGTGGGGAACAAGGCGATGCACTTTTATAATGTGGATTATACCAGGGTTGTCTTATATCCACTAACCAACAGTAAGTACATCCGCTCCTTACACTCTAAACTGACAACACTTGCAGAGCTCCTGCGCCCAGTGGCAACAAATTTGGGATAAACACAAACTGTCGTTTGGACATGAGATCGGCCCCGCTTTGCTTATCTTCCCTGAAGTTCTGTTTTCCAGAGGAGCTTGCTTTCATATCTACTGTGGACCCTGCCATAAGGCCTAAGGAAAGCAGGGCTTCAGTGCAGTCAAGAATCAGCATCATGATTTGAGAGTATTTTCCAGTCTGGCCATGTGGGCCCTGAGTAGAAGATGTCTCGCCACATGTGGAGTCGCCTGAGGCCGGCCAATGCGACAGGGCTCCAAGAATCCCTGGATTGATTTCGAGGAGATGCAGAAGGATGCCAAGGACCCACCTGTACCCCACTGGGGTAACATTAGGGTTATGTTGGGGTTACATTGAGACAACGGAAAACAAGATGGAAACTACTATTGAGGGTTTAGGGTTAGGCTGATCAAGAATGACTCCGTCTTTTCTTGTGGAAAGTCTTTGGAATAAGGGTCTCGATTGTATGCGCGTGTAGATGGCTTGCCGAATTTTGAGATCTTTTTGGATGCCGGCCCGCAATTTGATGTTCATTCTCTTCTGTTAGGTGAATCCCCCGTACAGAAAAAGTTCTAAATATGGAGTTCATAGGGCCTCAGTATACCTACAATGGTGCTTTGTGGCACCTATTACGGGGTGAGGGATTGAGCCAACCTCTTTGTAAAGTTCTCTCAAAGATTACTCGAAACATTCAAGGGCTCTGAGCTGCACCCTGAAGGCCACCAAGTTGCAAGGCTGCTTGTTTTTCAATCCGGATGCTTGTGCCGACAAATTGGAATCCCCGACAGCCTTCCCCCGAATCATCAACTCTCCGAATGTGGTAGCAGAATGTAGAATGAGAATATATCCGATTCGCACTTTTGGTTTCCATGCACTCCAAAATCATGTGGGAAGATTTTGCGCATGGGTGTCTTGCAGGGGTCATGCAGAAGAACCTCCGGATCTACCCTCACTGGGATCCTGATAGGGGAGTCCTCGGCACTAATGGGTCCTAACTGTGGAGCTGAAACACTAAACCATTTGCACCCTGGAGATTTCACCCTAAATCCTACGCTAAACCAAGTCTCATTTGCACATTACACACTAATGCACGAATGCTCTACTCTACCTCTACAAGCTACACTCACAAATATATACATTAAGACGTTACGCGCTGAACCTTTACACCCTAGAAAACGAATCCTAAGCCTACACATCCTAGAAGTTACGTCCTAAACACTATATGCACCCTAGAAACTGCATTCCAAACCCCGCTGAGTGGTATTTTACTTGGGGATGCTTTAGTCCCCAATATGGACTAAGATTATATTCTTTTTTTCGGGTATAGTATTTTCTATTAGGACTGAAATCTTACCGGGTTCAACCGCCCTAAACCCTATATGCCCTAAACCCTAAAACCCTGAGCCCTAAATTCTATAAACCCTAAACCCTAGAAACCCTAAACCCTATAAGCCCTAAACCCTAAAACCCTGAGCCCTAAATTCTATAAACCCTAAACCCTAGAAACCCTAAACCCTAGAAGCCCTAAACCCTCGAAGCCCTAAACCCGAAATCAGCTCAACTTTTGCAGGAACTGCGCAAGAAGACCGCCTCGCATCCTGCCCAGCATTGGCACAGGGTGCTTCTCAACGTAAAGTAGGGCTTCTACAGGGGTATGGAGGGGGCGTACAGGGATGTATAACGATGTATATATATATACATATGTGTGTGTATGTATGTATGTATGTATGTATGTACGTATGTACGTACGTACGTACGTACGTATGTATACATGTATATACATGTATCTGTATGTAGATGTATGCATAGATACACATGGGTACAGGGCTTGCGGCTGTCAACGTTATTGTGTTTTAAAGGTTCCTGTGCTTCGCAGGGTACCCATAGAGGCGCCATAACTTTGACTCATATCTAGCTTGGAAGGATAATGAAGTCCTTGTATAGAATGCTTTTTAAACGCACAGTATGGTTTTGTCGTCCCCCACATCGATTGGGCTATGTAACCCAGTCATAGTTGTTTCTGTGGTCTCCTTCGATTGGCCTTGCACTTCTTACGCTGACGAAAATACCTTGGAGAAACCTTGCTGAGCATGCTCCACCTCGGCTGTAACACAAGTCACTAAGTGCGGCTCAAAAAAAAACTCGGATCTTCCAGAACAACGGTAGAGTGGGTACAAGGACACTCTGCAAAACGAGATCCACCCGACAGGAGACACCCTCTTAATCTCTGCTTTGAAGGGACGTGGAACTGAAGCTATATAAGCTTGCATTGTCGGGGAAAGTCGCTAGTTGCAACATAACTGTATTCAATAGCTCATGAAGTTGTTCAACAGCCACCCAGCGTTGGCGGCCACACTTAGGAAGAGGCGCGCAGAGGCCACGATGTCGGACTGGGCTGTTGGGCTTCTGGTTGCTGGTAAGAAAGTAGTACCACAATGTTTTGTAAGTTGCTACTTGTTTCGCTACGTTGCTGCGCTGTCTTGTAGCGGACTAGCTTTGTCATCACCACGTTTGTGGAGTTTAATTTTGCCCTCCTATTTCTGTCCCTTTGATGATTCTAAGGGCTTTCAGAGGATGGGGTCCGCGGGGTTAGACTTCGCCTTTCATGAACCTGCTCATTCAGCGCCATAGGTCCATCAAGAGTCAAGAGACTGCTCATGCGTCCGACAAGGGCCCCAGTCATGCGCAGCCGTTGGTTACGCGGACGCCTTGCGCCCGCAATTTGCATTTTTAGGCATGTCCTGCAGTATGCAAATGTGATTCTCGGCCGCCCTTAGCGCAAACCCTTCGGCCACAAGTAAGAGCTGAGGCTTGCCGACTGAACATTTTAGGGTGGATATAGGGGTCCTATTGGCTGTTGAGGAAAGGAGATATTCTTCCCGATAATCCCCTATATAATCCCAGCTTCCAGTTGATTATCAATGTTCTTTTCCATTTGTTTCTCCATTACAGCCCCCTGCACTCCTAAACCCTATAGATCCCTTTTAAAAGGGACCAGATGTATTCCCTCAATAGGGGCCTACTGGCAGAGTGAGACCCTAAACCCCAAACCTTAACTGTCTTAACCGTTGGTTTCAGGCGGAAGCAAGGAAAGCAGCGGAGGCGAAACCGTGCCCCGACAGGGTAAATCAAGGGATATGGAAGGGTTGCAGGTTTCGGGTTGAGGGGAAAATGGATAAAAGAAATCGAACTCCTACTGGCTAGGTTATGATGGGGTATGTGTAGGGGTTCTATATGGAATAGAAAATGGCCACTAATATCTCTATATATATATATGTTATTATATATGTTCTCGGGATAATGGAAAAGAAGCCATTGAAACTATTGAACTGTATTAGAGTGCAAAGAGGGTTCTAGAGGGGTGGTATGGGGACATGACCTTTACCTGAACTCAGCCCTCTTGTAACTCTAATAGGCCTCACTTCAACAGTGAAGCTTGTATTGCTTTCAAACTTGGACTATGTCAATGTTCCTGAAGGGCCCTTCGTGTCAAAAGGCAGCCTACGGTGTGTGTGCGTTTCACCAACCAGGGACATGCAATCATGAGAATTCAGTTAACACTGGATTTGGTGTATATTCCTTACAAGACCCTTCGAACAGACCTCCTGTAGAAAAAGCAAGCCTGCAACTGAGGAAGAAGAAACGGAGCGAATGGGAAACCCAGCTGCAAAGCCGCTTGCGGCTGCGGCCGCAATGCCTGGCTTGTTGTAGATTTTTGTGTGCTAGAAGGGCCCGAAGAAGTATCGAATACAATTCTAGATTCTTGTTTTTGTTGTGGTAAGTAGAGCTCACATGATATTGATCATCATTTAGGCCCCCGTATAAGCGATTTGGGCTCCAAGGATTTTCAGGGTCCTGGGGTGAAGGGCCCAGGTTTTACCAGTCCAGGGCCCAGGTTAACAAGGTTTAGGATTTAGAGCCGACCTGGGGTTTTGGAAAATGGGGAATCGACATGCCATCCCCTGCTCTCTCTCTCTCTCTCTCTCTGTCTCTCTTTCTGTCTGTCTTCTATCCCTAAATCTATGTATATATGTATACATTCTGTGTACGCCTACGGAACGCATAAGAAGGGAAACCCTTTTGAGAGACAGCCACTGTTTGGGTATGGGGTTGTGCCATGGACTTGGGTGAGTGTATATTTGCATGTAGGTGTCCGTTTGGAGAGGGCATTTAGTGCGAATTCATTGCCTTAGGGGTTTAGGATGTTCTGGCATATACGACGGAGACCCTTTGCTGCCGGATCTTCTCGCCCGCTAGCTCATTGGAGGCTCCCTGGGCCAAATGTGGGGGGAGCTGAACTTGTTGAGGCTCATCTTTGCAGACTGAACGTTCAAACGCCGGATAATTAGGATTTGCAAGTTCTATGTGCTCTACACTTCGCGCAGCAACAACGCTATAACCTTTTTTAAATGTTTTCCCATGTGCGTGTATCTAGTTTCGAGTCCCCAGATATCGGGCATGTGAGCAGTAGTCTAAACTCCAAGCATCCCCCATAGCGACCCTTATAGTAGTTCCCTATACAACCCCTTATATAAAGCGGTTTTAAGGAGTGTAGATTATGGCTCATGTCTCCTTAATCACCCCGTATTGCACTTAATTAGCATCTCAAGAAAGCTTTCAGTAATCGAGGTCCGTGTTGATAAGATTGAGGACCCCGGCAAGGCCACCAACAACTTGCTGGTCCTTTTTCGGGAGTAATGGAATAATGTGATCCCTATATAATCCCTGTATACTTTATATATTCCCTTATTCCATACTGACCCCCAGTAAGATAAGCCTCACCACCTTTCCAAAGGTCACAGAGTTGCACCCCTCTCTCAAAAACAGATCCCTGTGGCTCTGGGGAGCTCCAAAGCCCCCAATCCTACCCTGCCTTAAATTGTCATGAAACCCCACTTGGGCCCATTTAACAGAAGGACTACATGGAACCACTGTTCAGGTTCCTGGTTTGTTTGAGGGAGGGTATTTTCTAAACCCTTAAACCCTTAAACCCTAAACCCTATGTAACCCCTATAAAGCCCTATGTAACCGCTATGAATAACCCTGTATAATCCCTATAAAGCCCATATATCCCCTACATATCCCACATCCTACGCAACTATCCCAGGATGACCAGCCCACGCCACCGCCTCTTCCAGCACACCTGCAGATCCTCAAGGCAGACCGCGACAGGACCCTGCTCTAAAGTCATGTGAGCTATAGTCTACATCGCTCAAAGGGGGGCTATGGAAGATTATAGACGGGAGTGTTACAGGTTACTAAGTGGGATACCACTCTATGCTCCTTGAAGTTTTTGTTCAGGGTTTATGGCTTAAACTCTTTTCAGGAGGTTAGAGAGGGTTTAGGGTTTAGGGTCTAAATTCCCAACAGGGTGTTATAGAGGGAACTATAGAGGGACTACTATAGGGGTTATGAAGGGGCGATACTAGGAGTTTAGAGCATAGCTCATGTGGGTTGCGTTTCAACTTGGGATGCTGTAGCCCGAGTTTAAAATGGGCATGGCATCTTACATGAGACATGGAACCTCAATTGGCCCAACCACGAGGAAAACACCGCTCGGTTTGGCCTGTGGGGTTGGACTGTTTTGGGCCTGGATGGTGCACCTGACAGCAACCCAGCAGGTTAAGCCCCGGAGGCCCACAGTTGTTTGTCAGACACCCACCTGCTAGATTCGGGCGGCATTCCCTGGTAAATCCCCAGCCCAGGCTTGCAGCTTCACACACATCTAGCTGAGGGGGTTGTGGGTGCATAGCTGCCAGGACTTGTTAGACCCCTAGGCAAAGCCGGATGTGTTTGGAGCCCAGTTCGGGAAAGTACTGTGAAATCTGATACCACAGCGTACCACTGCCTGACGAGAAGACAAAGTGCCTACAACTTGGCTACAGCTTTTGCGGGGCTTAGTATGACACTTGCAGAGGGCAGACATGCGTGTCAATTGTAGGTCGGCACTTTCGAGAGGCTTGCGCACTGTACATGACAGATACTTGCTTAGTAACATTCAGCTTCCAGCGCCTACTTTTTGGGTTCCGCTTTTGACGCTAAACAGCCTGCCACAAAAGGCCCCCGTGATGCTGAGAAGCCCTTTCATATTACTGGGACTTAGTAGGGAGCAAGGGAATGCAAGCCCGACATAATCCCCATAGAATATATTCCCTGATTCCCTACTAATCCCCAGTAAGACTTTCCTGCAGGAGGAAGAATGAGAGGGTCGTGGTGAAGCAAAAGAAAAAGAGGGCCTTTACCACGGGGTGAGGCCTTTGATGGACAAGGCAAGCCTTGGCCAAGGCAGCATCGGATACCCCTTGTCCCCTACGTATAACTTCAGCTAGCATTATGGATTACAGTAGTTCTTCGTAATCGTAATTGGTCTATAGTTACAATTCCCTAGAATCGGATGCATGGCGCCTCCAACTTGTTTAGATGCTATCCCGCGAGGGTATTTCTCCAAATTCACATTGCATAATTCTGCAGAGGGGCTTCGAACATCTCCATTTGGATTAACTTGATACCGGGAAGTTGGTAGCCCCAGATCCCCAAATTAGGACTGACAAGTCAGTCTTATGACGGTTATAGTCTTTTCTGACAGGAGCCCTGCAGCCTAAACCCACCTCGTCATTTTTATCCTGAGGATACAAAGGTCGCGCGCCTGTGAAGCGATGCCCGTGACGGATATGCTTAGATCAGTATCTTCGGAGCCCTCACCGCTGCCACAATGGTTCTTGTATCACTCCTATGTAAGTTGGATAGAAGATTCCTGAAAACCCAGCCACAAGTAAACCTCCCCAATCAAAAGCGAAATCTGAAACGTGCCTTTTAAGAAGGCAGTTCTCTACAAAGGGGCCCCTTTCTGAGGTCGCATGTCGTTTCGCGGGAGGGGCCGTTTGTTGAAAAGAACTCCCAGCCCCAAACTCTAAGCCCTGCACTCCTCAATCCCAAGCCCTGCATGCGACTCTTCGCCCACCCCGGCGGTTGCGTAATTCACAAAACTCGTGTGAAGCGGCTGGCAGTCAACAACTCTGGAGTGCCATCCCTACTTAGGCAAGAAGGGAGCTTCATGTCCTCAATACGTTTTACATTCTTTTGGAACTTTACAGGTTGTCGAGGATGTCCAGAGTCACCAGAGAACTTGGTAAAATGGCACTATAGGATAGAAGGTTCCTAAGATCAGTCGGATTGTTGACTACTTGGGGGACTTCAGTATCTGCGGGTTATGAGGGTTCCCAGAAATATTCCAAATATTCAGCTTGTTGGCATGTGTTCGCAGGCTTCATGGCGCCTTTCAGGAAGTAGGCTCAGGTCTTACTAACATGTTGTGAACACTTGTCCCTGATGCAGTTCTGGGTCGCGGTTGCGGCGTCCTGACAGGGAGGATATGCTGGACTCATGTTGAACATAGGAGGGAACATACTGCCGAGAACTGTCCAAACAACGCAGCGATGAGTTGTTTAGTGTCATTCTACACGCAGGTTAGCCTTGAATATGTAAATCCAGGGACTTAAACTTGTTAGCCTAGGTAGGTCCAACATTCTGAAGCACTCGGGCAGGGTTGCTACAGCCTTTTCACATATCCGAAGGTGCAGAAGGTACATTGGCGAAGCCAACGTACATTCTCGCATGACGTCCGTAGGCGCAACTGAAATGACCATTAGCCATTAGCCCGTCAAAGATGACAACAAGACCATGCATCTTCCCTCCTGCGATACAGAAGCATGTGCTCAGAGAGGGTCGGGTAGCTTACCTTCAGGTTTGGATGTGCCTCGAAGCCACAAATAAATCCCTAGGATATGAAGCCCTTCTGTGGAGAAATCTCGGTGCGTTGACGTAAGACGGCAAGGTGCATTTGGGTGTTCCCGTCATTTAGGATCCACCGTATTTCTTCCCCACCCAATTGTAAGACGCACCCACATACAGGAATCCAACATGAGAAACCCTTACTTCTCGGACAATTTCATGGGGCCCGCCTCACCCTGTGGAAACATCCCAGACACTCAGACTCAGACCCCCAAAGCGATCTTAAGATCCTTTAGCAATACTGAAAATAGTAATAGTAAGAGTAATCATAAGAGTAATAATACGAGTAACAGTAATAGAAACAAAGATAGTAATAATGGCCATAATACGCTTCCTCTCAGGAAGTACAGAACATTCCTCAAAACATGCCGAACGAGTCCCCTTGGTGTAGGGCAGCTAGCGTTGAAACGCATGCAGAAGATACGGGAGAGGCGAGAGTTCCATTGCTAAATTGACCTTCCACCTTCAAGATGACATGTCCTGCCCTACAACAAGTAAGGAGAAGGTGGCCCATGTTTGGGAGCCTAAGCACCCCTGAACACCGTAAACCTCACAACGTGCAAGCTTCTAATGCGCGAGGCCCTTACCCAAAATTCAGTTCCCATTACAGGAGACTGCGCGGTACACGGCAAAAATCAAGTTGAATTGTTCATGTAATGCGGATCTCGTATGGCCCCCATCGTATCAAGAAGTAGGTCCAAGCCGCCAGATTATTTTTTCGTTGCGACGTGGTTTCACCCCTTCGCTTCAGCGAAGGGCTTCCGGACATGCAAGGCCAACAAAAATTCTCCTTTGGGTGCCCACCTCTTCCATCTTGTGACTGGCTTTGAGGTCAGATTGCAATGGACGGTTGGGTTGGGTTGTACTAATCTGCAAACTGCTGTGTGAGGCCTGAAGAAAGTTATAGTCGCGTCCCCGATAAGATAGGTGGATTCCCAGAAATTAGGGCTTCCCATACACTCACCCAAAAACACAATTCAAACAACACAGGAGGGAGGGAGGAAGGGAGAGAGAGAGAGAACAAAACAAAAAAGCGTGGAATCGGGTGACACTTCTACTCCTGTCCTTTGGGGTCCTGACCTGCGAACAATGGACAAGATGCAGGCACAAGTTTGTGCCATGGGGTGGCTGTAGTGCCACCTTACGCTTGGAGAAGAAGAAAGAGATGGTACCATACCCGCAGTCTCCCCCAATCAGAGTCCCAAATTTACCTTCCACAAACCCTCGTGCCTAAGTCCCAAACATCGGACGAGTTGTAAGGGCAGTTGAATTTCAGGCCTGATTACAGACGGAAAGCTCTTGTCATTGAGAATGTCTATACGAAACCTACACCCTGAATCCTTTATACCTCGTAAACCCAACCCCCTACAACCAGCAACCCAACCCCAAAACCCTCAACCGCGAAATCCAACAAACCCTAAACCCCGAAATCCCTAAACAATAGTTTCCATGTTCCTTTCCCTTCTCCTAATATATCCCCTACATTAAAAAATATATATATATATATACGCTATATACCCTTTCCCTAAGCTTTAAACCCTGCAACCCCAGACTCTCCCTGCACGGCCTCGGACAGCCAATTGGCTCCAGTGGTCACCATGCCGCCTCCCGTGCGCTACAAGCCACCTCTGCCGGTGCGGTTCAAGGACCCACTGTTCTTTAGGTTTGAGTTTAGGGGTTAAAGGTTCGGGGTTAGGGTGTAGGGCTTACGGTTAAGGGATTCATGTGGCATGCTTCTAGGAACCCAATGGTTGCTATGAAGATTGCACGACGAACTCAAGGAGCTTCCAGCTTTTTTTTGACGGCTACTTGTTGTTTACGTGTCCTTTTTCCCTTCTGACCCGCCCAAAAAGTACTTCCCAAACACGGTGGTGCTCAGGACTTCGGTGTATGGTTTCGGAAGTTTGGGTTCAGGAGGCGCTTCTTCAAGAGTTGAGGGTAATGCTTCAACAGGTGGTTCAGCTTGTGGGATCTTGTCGGCAGATTGGGGTTTCTTGCTGCAGTGGCTCCGTGGAGGCTAAACCTATAGATCGTAAACAGGTGGGAGGGCCCATGTGCCTGAACCTTAGCAGGGCGACCATATCAGGATTTCCTGGGGCATCCATTCCCACATATCCTTACCTACTTGGGTAGGCCCCTGGGATTCCCTTATGGCTTTAATAAGGGACCCTATTACTAATATGTTTCAAAGGGTTTCAGGGGCCAACCCAGCTACTCAGCATTAAAACTTATCCTTGTATTCGCCCGTGCAGTAAGCCTCTCACGCCCACACCTGCACTCTAAACAAAACCTCTCTCCTCCAACCAAAAGTTCACGGAAAGGTCGTGCGTTTATATACATATATATATATCTATCTATCTATCCCCTAAGATTACGTATCCCTATATAACTCCTATATACCCCTTTCATATCCCCCATGTAACCCTAATATTACCCCAAGGGTTATGACTTCAATTCTGGCACAATCCCTGGACGTCTCGCAGGTCCCGAAAGGGAACATCGTACCCCTGGCGCCCAACGAGCCCGACATCCAACTGGGCAAGGTGCCAGTGTGGCTCTTTTTAGAAACCATCATAAACCACTCTTAGGCATTACGGGGCTGGTTCAGCAAGTGCTGTTGCACATTATGAAATAGACCTGAAGAGTCTTGGGGGCAAGAGCCAGATTTATGCGTTAAAGATTGCTACCCTAAACCCTAAACCCTAACAGCTGTGTCGAGGATTGCTTCTCTTTGGATCTTGGAGCTTGAGAAGCAGCTTCTCCTTTCCCGGTTTTTTCTGGGTTGATAATGTATACCCTATAGAACGCGTATCAATAAACCCTAATTTATCCCCAATATCATATATACCTTATATACCCTATATACCCTATATAACCCCTAAATATTTGGCCGAAAGATGGCCCCATCTCAGAGGCGATGCTTTCCTGCTAAACTGTCATAATACTTCATGTGGGTTCCTTCTGTACCAGGATGCCGAAAGGATTCACTGTCAAATCCCTTCAAAACTTGTAGTAAGTACTTGAAGGATCTTTACAATCCGCATTTCGATGTATTTCCTTTTTCGTTTCCATCTGGCTTTCCAATTCACGGATCCACTCTTCCCTGAGCACCGGTAAGCCGTGAACCGAACACCTTGTTTTTTTGTGGCCTCCATGTTCATTTCAACTCCGCCTCCCTTATCGGGGTAATTACCCTAAACCCCACAAAATCCTCACGTGTAAACATATATACCTTGTACCAAGAACCCTTTATGTGATAGCTTCGCAAAATTAAGGGTACTCAGATAGACCCCCAAATACTGAAATCCTTAATATAGCGACCCCCAATGTGGCACCCCCAATTTTTTGGGAAACCCTAAACCCTAAATGTCCCTATAATATCCCTACACAACCCTTATATCCCTTAAAAGGTACTTCAATTGGGGGACACCCTCCCAATTCTTATAGCCCTAAACCCAATCCCTATAATATCCCTATGCAACCCCTGTATATACCCCCCTTTAAAGGTACCCCTAGTTCTGGGAAAGCCCCATGTATCAGACCTTGGTGGCTGCGAAGCCACACCGGATCACTGCGGACCAGATCGAGCTTGGGCGCAGGACCCTTCGAAGGCTCCAATGGGGCTGACGGTTTTTTGTGCTTCTGAGCAGGTTTAGGGATTAGAGTGCAGGGTTTAAGGTTTAGGGTTTGGGACTTAGGGATTTTGATGCGTCTGCGTGTTTCTATGCTTGAGGGTGTTGGGCGTATGACTCTAGGGTTGCAGGGGCAGAGAGTTTTAGTTAGGCCAAAGGCTCATGGGCTTAGGGTTTTCAGTTCCTATATGGGGTAGATATTTATGGTCTCATTTGGAACTGTTTGGGATGTTTATTGGCTTAGGATATCGGGTATAATTCTCCCTACTTTGCAGCAATGCGCTTGAGGTTTGGGGCTTGTCCTTTGGACTTTTATCGCTTCTGCGGGCTTATATGGGTGAACAGTCTTAGGCAAGAGGGTTTCCCGGGGGCTTTGGAGCTTTAGTCCGATGGTTTGTCGCGCACGCTTGTTAACTGTCGCGCACGGCTTGCCGCGATCGCGTTTCGAAAGCCCAATTTTAGCTTTTGTGTTCAACAAGTTTGTTCGACAAAGTTCTCTGAAAACATAGAAACTACGTCAGCTATGGAGCGTGTCAGAAGTCTAAAAGCCAGCAAGTCTGCAAACCAATAGGTGGAGAACGTGTCGCGCACGTTCCTTAACTTTTGCGCACGACTTGCTGCGATCCTGTTTCTGAAACCAATGTTAGATGTTTGTTCCAGAAGTTGTTGTTGTTGAACAAACTTCTTGGAAAAACGTAGCAACTTTGTTAGCTATGGATCGTGTGGGGAGAGCCAATAGATTTGGGATGTAGTGTTTAAGTTTCACTGTAGGTTCTATAGCTCTATAGGGTATAGGTTTTCATGTTATTGAAGGTTCAGTTCAGAGTTTGCCTGGTGGCTGGCCCCTGCAACCCTTAAATGACCCCGATACATCCCTGGGGCCCCCATTTGAGATGTGCTTAAACCAGTACTTAAGGATTATAACAGAACAGCATTGAAACCCTAGGCCCTAGACCCTAAATTGTTCAAGCGGTTGCATTAGCTGCTGGCAGGTTTCTCGGACGAAAGGGCGACTTTCTTGTCAATGTCCACGCTACCTACGCAGCGCCTCGTCCAAGCAGATTGAGAGGCCTTGGAATAATGAGCTTTTCAACTTGTAGGGTTCACATAGATATATACATGCTGCGTTTTTATTGGTGACCAATATGTATATATATATACACACCTATATATATGACTATGTGTACGGATGGTGCTTCAGGGGGAGTGGAGACGCAGATAGGAACTACCGTAGGTTTTAGGGTATAAGGTTTCGGGTAGTTGGGCTTAAGGGAAGGTCGTGGAAGGGTTGTGAGCTTGATCATAGTATTCGTCCCTGAATAATTTCCTATGGGTGCTTGCAGGGACTCCCCCGATCCCACCCGACCCCACCAGCACGGGCAAGTTGATCACCCTAGCTTAACTATAGTCCCCCTGAAGTAAATAGAATATGAAAGTCTCCAATATCAAAATAGTAAGATCCCCCATATACCCCAGAGTCTCTCTACTTAAGGGGAAACATAAGCAGGAAGCCTGAGTCCTTGCTACATGTTCATGCTTGCCATGAGCGTGATGACACACATCATGACGATCACAATCGACATGGCCATCCCCATTTGCACCATGTTCCTGGAGCCGAGACGTGCGACAGTGCGGAAAGCTACATCTTGCAGCTAGATGCGTCAGTTGACCTGGCGCAAAAGACAACAACTGGAGTGGGGCTTAGAGTGTGCCAAACATGGCAAACATCACGCGAATTGAAAGCGGTCGTCCCCTAACCAGACTCATACTTGACGCGCCTCGGGGATTCTGAAATTGGACCTCTCAAGCGTGGCTCCAACTGGAGATTTCTCAAGCTCTCAAAGATTTGGCTTGGGTTTCCCGTGTCTTGACATGAGTGCCCTGTAACTGTTTTGGAGCCAAGTTGGGCGAACTTTCCATACAGAAGCGCTTTCAAGTCACCGTGTTCAGGGGTTGCGGGCAAGGTTAGATATTTGACAGATCCCTGTAAGGTCACACGCAAGCCACACGGCTCCTTGGCTGCAGCAGTTGGTTGAAACTGTTTTTTGTTACTCAACGTATTCAGGGTCAGGAGAGGTACAGTCTCCCCTTTATGAGAATACAGGCAAGGGCTGTAAAACATGGCCTCAATCTGGGGGTTTCTCTTTGGAGGACTCCACGGCATTGGGGTGCATGGAGAGTTTCTACTATACCTACTTTATCATTTAATATTGTTCATATCATATAGTGATACTATCATTATTACTATTACTACTAGTATCATTAGTATCCATAGCAAGCGTTCAACGTGGTGAACAGTATGTGAACAAGTCCATGCTGCAAGATAGCCAACCAGGTCAACCTTCCCCTGCCCCAAGGGTCTCTCGGGCGAGTGCAACATTCATCTTGCATTGCTGCTGGCTCCTATTTTGGGATACCGGCTTCGAAGCCACATGTCGAGGTGTGAAGATGGGTCAGGGGAAGGGCAACATCGAGTTCTTCGTTGCACGCGTCCCTGCCGGGCGGGTCATGTTCAAGCCGCTCGCCTGACGTTGGGCGATGTGTACGGTGAAGTGGCGTATTTTCGGGGCGGTGCATCATAGACAGGGATTACCAAGTGCCAGATGTTTTCTGATTGCTCTTGGCCTTGCAATCCCGCCCGTTGTGAGCTGGAATGCTATCCGTGCACTGGCCTGCCATTGCAGGTCTATGAGACACATTTTGATTCACAGAGCCTGAAGCCTTCAAGCTTGCATGGCTTCAACGGCATTCCAACAGCTTCAAGGAATCTCTCGAACACCCATAATCCTGATGCACAAGCCTAGCCCGGACCGTGCAACTTTGCACGCCCAAGCACATGCAAGCGTAGGGGCCCCTCATTGAGGGTACAGGTCCCAAGGCAGTGATTCTACCGAACCCTGTCCAGGGTATCCTTGCATTCATCTGATTCTTAGGCCCCCAGAACCCAGTAACGACTCAGTGAAACCGCGCGAGGATACCATCTCTCAATCCAATACCAGGCCTGGCAAGCATGGCCTGTGGTGATTTCATATGTTGATGTTGTTTCCGAGTTGGAGTGGGGTGTTTGGTCAGAATACTAGAATCAGCAGTTACCTTCGGCAAAAAAGGTTGGAGACACGTTGCACACCAATCTTCAGATTCTCTGTACTCGTGCTAGGGCCGCTAGGGTGTGGGAGATGTCAGGCCTACTTTTGCTGTCACACACTGGTGGCCAACAAAATGCTGATGATTCCTTTAGAGGCTGCTTCACGTAGTAGCAGACGCGGGCAAGCCCTCTGCCCCCAAAACATCCGACTGGCGAAGCTGCGGGAAGTACAAGCATTAACTATCGAGCGAAAGGTGCGGTCCGAGCAGTAGCATCGTTTCACTATCACAAAGGTGGGGAATGCCATCCAGGCACAAGGGAGCACAGCAACTGAGCCACTACATCAAAAAGAACGATTGTCACCCTGCGCTGGAGGATACAATCCTAACATGCGAGCATTTCGCGAAATCGCGGACAAGCTCCTTGTCTGCAAGATACAGGTCTTGCAGGTAAGTGTCGGCTGCGGAGTCCAAGTACTTCTCCTGACCAAGTAGGTAGTCAAACGGGATTGCGTCAGCGCATTCTGCTCATATCAAACTCAACCGCCATTTGCGGAGACTTTGTAAAAGCCCTGAAATACTGTCACAATTGCGAGACTCCCTCTGAGATCGCACATACCGCAGCAATCACGCCTTGGCTTGACAGGTACATCCTCCATCTGGTCCACACTTTTCCCTGAAGCGGGGGGGGGGGGCTGTTTTCAAAGTTGTGACGTTTTTTGTTTAATCGTCATCTGAAGTACATTGGTGCATGATAATGGGGGAGCAGAATCCCGCACCTGAAGCCCCCCAGACAAGGACTGGTGCATATGTCCCCGGAAATCCTACAGTCTTTGCATGTCTTTGCTGTGTATGTCCCCAACAAAATACTACGGTACTTGCTCTGGGGATGCTAGGCAATCCTAAACCCCTAAACCCTGAATCCTATAATCCCTATATAACCCGTATAATCCCAATATATGGTAGTTGCCATTTTCTTTTCCCGAATATTACCCCACAATGTTCGGAATGGCCCAAATCCCCCCTAAACCCCTAAACACTATATCCCTAAACCCTGAATCCCTAAACCCTAAAGTCCTAGACCCTTACTCCTTACAATCTTCTGGAATCGTCCAGGATGCCCATGGCGACGAAGTTCCGCCAGCAGTACAACGACTTCGGGGACTTGTCCAAAGGCCGTTGCTCAGCTGAGCGTGTTGTTTTCATGGGGTCTCCTAAAGTTAGGATGCCCTCAAAAGGGTATACAGGGACTATAGGGATATCATCCCAACTGTGGGGAATCAGAAGAAAAAACGGAAAATGAAATGGCAGCTGGGATTATGTAGTGGGATAAGCGTTTTGGTTGAAATTAGGGGAATAGTTGGGAATATAGGAGTATTTTGAGGTCAATGCTCGTGTCCCCCTATTCATGGAAACTACCAATAGTTCTGTCCTCAACAACAAGGGTGCAACCTTCCTGCATAGCCTTTGCCGAATGCTTGCCTGGGATTCCAAGCAAGTCTTCATAGCCCAGCCATGGCGCCTAAACCCTAAACCTATTGGGATAATATAGGGTAATTTAGGGTTTATATAGGCATAATGGAAAAATGGAAACTACTATAATGGGTTACCCAAAATGGATATCATAATAAGGATTATGGTATATTGGGGTCTATTTTGGGGTCCCTTTATTTTGGGAAACTACCATATCCAAGTTCCAAGGATAGTACGACAGCTGGGTGAAGGAGTGAGATCTGAACCGACTTCTCACAGACAGGAGGACGGAAAGACCGGATCCTTGTCATGCTGCGCCAGAAAAGGAGCTGAAGGGAGGACCATGGGTCTACCTCGTACACGGGTCTGATGTCTAAGTGCTCATGCAACACGTGGAATTCGTGTTTAGTGTAGGGTTATGCTCGCGCTTGTTACCCATGATTTTCGTGCATGGTGATGAAGAGGTATGCACACACATTTTCTGTCATGTATTGCATACATGCAGATGTACACATGTACGCATACACATGCACATGTAAGCTTGTGAGGGTGTGCCTCTTTTTAAGTCTATGAAAGAGGGATGGAGTGAGGGAGACGGAGGAGCGAGAGAGAGACACAGAGACGGAGACAGAGCTGGGGGGATTGAAAGCCCAGCACAAAAAAAGCTCTTCCTGGTTCTGCCAAGGTCTGGCAGCCCGTGTGGATGCTGATGCTGACATCTGCTACTGTGAAGCTAAGCACGTACAGTTGGCCACTCAGTTGGCTGCGTGCATCCAGTTGCAAGGCGATCATATCAATTTCAAGCTTTTCGCAGTGTCCCATGGTCGCGAAGTCAAGCCCTTTGCTCGTAGGAGGCTTTAAAGGCAAAAATGGTGCGGGCATCAGCAGCATCATGCATGTGCATGACTTGCGCAATCAGTGCATACTGCAGCACATTTGGAAACAAATGATCCGTGAAAGAGAGGTCCTTCTATGCCAGCATTGCCCGGAACGAGCAGGGCAAGCGGGACTTCGACAGCTATGCAGGTCGGGTGAGCTTGTGTAGTGGACAGCAGTGACCTTTCACATCATGTAGATTGCATTCTTCATGATGGCCTTCTCATTCTGGTGGCGTGTTTCAACGTTATGCGACCTGGGCATGGATGAAAGGCCCTTTTATGCTTATGTATTCGCACAAGGCCACGCGTGCCAGAGATTCGCAGCAGGCGACAACGCGACAACCACCAGTGTATGTCAAACTACCAAAATGTGTCAACCGTTTCGTTTTGCAGGATGCGCAAAGTTCCCCAATCTTCCCCCCCCCCAGCTGCTGGGCGAACCTTACATTGACATGCTAACCAACACTTATCACCATAGTTCCAATTACTACTACATTGCAATGTCCTTTTTTGTTGCAGAAAGTTGAATGAAATAAACGGAAACATCATGATATGCATTTTACTTATATGTATTCATTGTCAATCACCTTGCTACTGACAATGTTACATTGTTCATTTCGAGTACCTTGCAGGCCGCGTTCTCATCCTCGATGAGGTGGATGCACTTGTCATTGACGAAGAGCCGAATGAGCCGTGCCTAGGCAGAAAACGAGGCCTTGCACAGGCTTCAGTTAGGTTTAGGGATCTCATTTGCGGTGTTCAGCGCCAAGTTGGAACCCAAGGGAGGATTCCAAATGAAGGTGCGCTACAACAGAGGCCTTCTATGGGCTGTTGTAGAGCCAGCGTAGCAAGAGATATTTGATGACTTGGAGTCTCCGGATGTTACTTCAGAATGGGACTGCTAACCAAGAGCCAGTTTGTTTGAAGGTGTTTGCTGGGCACATACCCTTGTGAGTAAACACGTCGTGGTTTTCTGCTGCACATGTTTGGCGTAGGATCTTGTTTGGCTGGAAAAGCGTCATAGTCATGGTCCTAAAGCCTAAATAGTAGTTGCCATTTTCTTTTCCATTATCCCAATACATTCCCTGTATAACCCTTATATAATGCCTACATAATCCCTTCATGACCCCTATATTAATCCCCAACATATCCCCTAAGCCTTGAACCCTTAAGCACAAGGGGCCATTGTAAAGTAAGGTAGGCTCGGTAGCCTTGGCAGCTGTGCACTTGAAGCGCTTTCTCCAAGGAAGCGCTGCGTACAAGCCGGACATTTTGGGGTACCTTGTGGTCTTAGGGTTTATAATCTAGGGTTTAGGCTCTATACTGTACACCTTGAAGGGGTTTATCTAGGGGATTATATAGGGGACTACTAAAAAGGTCACTAAGGGGGATGCTAGGACTTTAGACTATAGCTCAAGCGGTTTTTCCATCAACCTCTGAAATTCTGGGGTGCCTCGGAGCGTGCGGAAGGGCATGTAGCTTCTGGTTTTGTGCCGCTCAGGTTTGTGTATCCAAACACAGAGCCTGGGCCTCGGACGAAGGCAAAGCCTACTGCAGGAGCGTTAAAATCCTCAGTAGCGCCTTGGGCTACATAATAAAGGTATGCAAGGGGATTCGCTGACTCCATGGGGCAGGCTCGATGCGTCATTTGACAATGTGGATATGTGTAAGTCTGCTTTTACTGTTGGTTTGTATCGTGCCCAGCGGTCACCAGAGATGAAAAGGGTTTGTTGTTGCGTGAATGATTGATTTCATTCTTGCACGACGTGGGACTCAATCCTCAGAAGAACACAGCCAGCAGAACCCTTAAACTTCAACTGGGCCGTTGCGAGGACAGGAAGCCCGTGCTTCAGACATGATTCAGGCTTGAGAACCTGCCTGCTCCAAGGCTGTCCGAGATGGCCACCACGGTGGCATCGGGTTTGCTTAGTGGGAAACGGTGCGGCACCTCAGGTTACTAGGCCGCGGGCCTTGCCTAGGATTATCAGGAAGATCAATGTGCTTTCCGCATCTCTACCTGAAGCGCAACCGCGGCCGCCAGCAACACACAACTTACCACTATGACCACCATTACCACCACCAGAGCTACAACTACTGCATTCCAATGTTTTGGATTACCTTGGTTTGACGGAGGTTGGTCGACACGAGGAAAGAGGGGCCTCTTCACAACCTTCCTAGGATCTTGATTTAGGTCTGAACATATTATTCTGTGCTGTGGAAGCTAAAGAACTCTACACAGGATTCAAGTACATGTTTTCACATTGGATTTCGTCGATGACCGAAATAGGATGGTCATCTGATCTGTGCAATATTTGGCATGGCTCCGAACATGCGAGGGGTTGTCTTGTGTGGACGCAAATTCCCTGTTCATCCATTGCCATTGCCGGTGGCCCAAAGACGCCTCGTGGCTTCACATACACTGAGTGACAGCCTGAGCCGTGAAACTCGGGATGCAGGATGCCCTTCAATGATGCAAGACTAAGATCCCACCCTATACTTCTTCCCAACCCTGAGACCCTCACCTTGACCTATCCCTGCACCCTGATGTCACTTGTTCAGATAACCCCCCAAGTGTTGTCATTCCTTCAATGCTGCGCTACGTAGTCCCCATGCATCTTTGCAGTAACCGCAGGAGCACACCTACAGAAGGCCACAGCCAACACAATTTCGCTGGGGGAGAGTTGTTCAACTGTGGCCATGTCCGAAGCCGCGGCCACACGAAGCGCTTCGCGTAGCCCTCGGCGGAGGCATCAGATTCCCACCTGGCCTGTTCCGTGGATCATTCGGGCTGCAGGATTTTGTGGGGATTGGGCAGGTAATCGCACGCGGACGTTATTGCAACGCGGGGGTGGGGGGGGGACTGAAATGTAGTATACAGGGTTGCCGGGAGTGCTAAGTTGCGATCATTGCTGGAGGGAGTTCAGGCTTCAAGGTGTTCGGTGTCAAATAGGTTCCCAATACTGAGATTAGGCTGAACGGGCTTGTAAGTGCTTTGGAGCATATGAGCCAACATGATATCAGTAGTTTTGGGGCACAAGTCGCTAAAGGTGGTTGTTGGGATCGCATCTCGGGCATTCTTGCAGCTGTCATGGCAGCTGCGATAGGTAGATGCCCGAGCAGCTTCATCTCGAGCTTCACGGAATTTATCAGAAAATGATGAAGTGTGGAACATGTCGGGAACCTACGAGTGATCTATACTTTCAGTCTTCTTCATGTCTTTGTTATAGGACTTGGGGTGAGGGATGAAATGAATTTTTACATGTATTCATATACTCGTAGTTAGAACTTGAACTTAGTAGGCTTGCAACTCTGTAGCTCACGCCTCGAGGAAGGGCGATGCAGCGCCTTGCTGCTTTGCCATGAACGCCAGGCTGTGTACTCAGTTGGGGGGGGGGGTCGTGGGGGCTCAGTTGTCAAGATTATGATATACGCTTTAGGCAGGGTAAAGTCGGCACGTGCTGTGCCGCTGAGCTATGCCAGCGCAATATTTACAGTGACTTCTTCCCAGCTTTCTCAGGCTTACTATAGTTGCGATAACTGGCCGCCGAAAACTGGCCGCGCCCGCAGGTATACAGCATGTGGGAAACATTTCAGCAATGACCCCAGCACTTCCGATGCTCGAGTCACCAGAGCTTATTCGGTAGTTCCCATAAATCTTAAAGGTACCTCTAATCAGTGACTAGCTCAGTCTTATGCCCAAACCGACCATGCCTACCCCGCTCTTTCAAAATGCAGACTCCAATTAAATTTGTCAAACTTCAGGCCACGCCGCAAGCTGACATGGTGTATATAACCCCCGAGACGGGGGAAACATATGGAAAGGAAAATGGAACGTGACATGGAAGCTGGGGTTGAAAACGGGTAGAAAGGAGAATCAAGTGAAACATACCATGGAAATGGAATGGAGATCGGGTTTATACAAGGATTTGTCCAAGGCTGTAGCTGCCCTGTGTGTTTTGAATTAACAGCTTTGCCGGTGGTGCGTGCCAGCAACGTTAACACGCTTTCCTTTAGCAGGCCCTTGGACCTCATAAGCCGTCTCTGCAACAGACCGCCTTGAGTTCTCGGGGCTGAGGGTTTAGAAGTTAGGGGTTCGGAGTTTAAGGCTTTAGGGGTCTAGGGCGGCAACATTGTTCCATTTAAAACAAAGGCCCTGAATCAAGACAGGGTTGCTGTAGGACAGGTCCATACTGGACTTTTCCAATCTAGCGGTGGCATAATTTGTAAACGAGATCTGTACATTCCGAACATGAGCCACGCATCCCACATGTCCAATAGCTTGAACCCCAAGCCCCAATAGAGACCCAAATAGTTCGGGAAGCCAAACCCAAATTGTAGTTTCCAGCTTGTTTTCCATTATTCCAATATAACCCCAATATTTTGGCTGAACCTGCAGATGGTGGCAAACAGACGGCGCCACGGCAGCAGAAAATCCGCTGTCTGACTACGACCGAGATGTAGCTTGGAGGATTTGGTAATTTGGTACTTTCCATAAATCGGGGGGACCCCAATATAGTTTGCAGTTAACAGATGAGGTGATGTTGGGTTCATAGGGGTCACGCCTTGAAATCAATTGTGCAAGAGAACCTAGGGTCGCTTGCAAAGCCGTGAGAAGCGCTTCAGGTGTCACGGATTAGGGTTTTAGGGTTTAGAGTTTAGATCAAGGCATGGAACGCTAAGCTTCGAATTGCCCCATGTCTTGCCGTAGCAATCTGAAATCCTGGTTAGACCATGTCCCCCAGGACCTTAGTTTGGCACTACTCTTGGCTCAAAAACTTATAAAACCCGGCTTCCTGTTCGTATCCAGGCCTATGCAGGAAGCTGAATTGCTCCAAGTCTGTCCAGAGGCCCGGGAATCTGGGGGCAAAGGAGCTAACCACTTGAAACGGCGGCATGATGATGAGACGAGAAGCACGTCCACGAAATTGGGCGGTTTCATTGCAAGAGCTAGCGCACAGTCTGTTTTATGTGTAATTTTCTAGCCATGCAACAATGCTTACATTTGATTTCTTGAGTCTTCAAAGCCTTGACCTCAGACCTTCTTGCCTTAGCCTGGAAAACTGGAATCCCAACTCAGGAACCTTGCCATCCCCTTCATAGCGCGCTGATAGATTTAGTCCCCCTTAAGATAGAATAGGGTGTATATTGGGATCTTATTATAATATACCCAAAGCCATTTTCTATCTACTTAAGAGGGATTACAATCATCCCCGCCGTCCCTTTCCCTCTTTGCCCTGCTGAGGCAATCCTGAAGCAGAACCCGCTGTCAGCTGACCTTATCAAGCTCAACGAAAGCGTGGTCACCTGTGATTCCTGGCGGACGGTACAATCTTCATTGCGTTCGTTGGGAATCCTTATTGATGTCAGTGCGCATTACTCCAGTGGGAGCTTCCCAAAACAACGTCCTCATCATCCCTAGCTATTGAGGACCCGCAGAATGCCAACATGATCCCCACGCAGCATACACCCCTAGAGTCTCTGGTGGCCCTCCATTTTCAAAAATTCCCGAATGCTGGGAGCCCAGGGCCTTCCAGTCCGGATTCCACCCCAGAATCGATTCAACACAACGTGCTATTTCTGTGCGTCGCATGGTCCTTGCATGGAAGATCTCGCGCTTGTTTGAGGGCCAGGCCTGACCATACCCATTTCTTTGCAAGAGTTCAGCTTGTACATTTTAAGGACAGCCAAGACTCACAGACCCCAACGCCCGCGCCACCACCAGCGCAGTGGCTGCTCAGCTCAACTCCGGTTCACATGGCAGGCGTCCTTCTCGTAGAAGAAGGGCTTGAGGACCTTGAGGGTTTAGGGTTTAGGGTTTAGTCGTGAGGCCCCAGAAGGGATTCTTGCGAGCTTCGGAGGCGGCAAGGGGTCTCTGTAATTGCAGACCCTTGCAAACAGCATCTCTTGCATCATGGTTTATGCAGGTTCTGACAAATCGTAGGCCGCAATATAGAAGAATCTATTAATCATCATAATCCTTTTATGCACCCTGGGACCCTTGCTTTTGGAAACCCCATCTGTGTGGCGCATGTATCACCAAATTGGTCCATATCCTGTTGTAGTTGGCTCGAAGAGCTTCAAATTAGCTATAGGGGTGCCTGCGTAGGCTTGGTATTTTTCAGCTGCAACAGACACTTATAGTAATGATAAAGGTGCTACTTGCAGCAGAAACAATGCTGGTCAGTTGCTCCTTCAGCCTCTTTTCATGTCTCACCAGAGCTTACGATGATGCTGATAAACTTGGAAGGTCTATGGGAAGGTCATAAGCCCGCAGTGGATTTGCCTCTTCTTCTTGCTAAGCTACGCGCTTAGTCTCCCAGCGTTTGAAGCTGATTTATGAATGTCTTGCCTGCCTAAAAGGTACGAAGAGACCACGAAGCGCCGTCCGCACTTTGCCAAGGCGGGTTTCAGAGCTTTTTGGGCCAACGCGTACTGGGTCTAGCACTTAGTTTTGCGCAACCCCATGATCCCAAGAGGCAGCAGAATGAGCCTTGCGGACTCTAGACATGATTTCATGCCAGCCCAACATGGGATTTTAGTTTGATAAGGATCCCCAGAAGAATTTGAGAGGAGCTCACAAAACACCAGCGCCGAAACTCCGCGACTGCGCTTCTTCAGCGTGCCTATGTTGAGAATCTCGACGACAAGCAAGATAATGTCTGGGAAATGTGAGCGGGTCGGCTTGGCAGTTTTCATTCCCGTCATAGGCAGCCAGCATCTCAACAAGTAGCTTTCTCGCGCAACTCTGTGATGTACAGCCAACAAAATGTCCGGGAACACACTGAAAGTAACACTGGAGTACAAACTACTGGGCTACTGCTAATCCAACTTAAGTTAAATTACCATGATGGACATGTATAGAGCGAGTAATGTGGTTCCCATATATTATAGTCACTTGAATTACGTTCCTTAATCCAGCACTCTAAACCCCATATAGTTATTGCCGTGCATGCCTTGTGCGATGCGCGTGTCCTATATACCCCTCTACATTTACCCCCTTATACCCTTGTGGTAGTAACTCAGATTGGCATGTTGAAGGGGCCCTCCCTTGTAGCCTGTGGCCCAAGCCCCAGAGCGCATACCCACCAAACACATACCATGCAATGCCTTGTCTAAGTGAGCTATAGTCTGAACTCCTGAAAGGGTTATTCTATAGCTCAGATCAGTCTGTAGAATGTGAAATGAATCCGGAGCACACGCACAGAGCGAACTATCCTACTGTCTCCTCACGAATTTAGCCGAAATGGTCAGCACATGTTTTTTTTGGCATTCAAGTTCAGGTACACATGTTCAACAATGTTTACCCTCAGAGCCTAGAAATCTACCACATTTAGCCACCAGAAACCCCGAACCACCCTCAGCCTTTGAACGGAGAAGCCTGCATCATGCGAGGAAGCCTAAGGGTCCAAGTACNNGTACATGGACCCTCTGGGGAAGGTATATCTTCGTCCCTGCAGAACCATACCCGGACAGCCCACACATGCTTGTTCAGATGTTTCAGTCAACCTTTCAGACCCCTACCACTTGCGCAATCCGCAAGGATTGGGTTTCCCGGGCACTAAACCAATCTTACCCCAACCCTGAACCTTAAACCCTACGCCCTAAACCCCGTCCCTAGCGCTTGCTGAGGATGATCTGCAGAAGCGAGCTACAAGCGAGGCACATCCTTGCCTGTTCGGGTGACCTGTGCTACTTCGTTCTCACCTTGTAGCTTGGAAGAGATAGACTAGGTCCCCCTGTACCCCTGTAGTACCCTTTTTCCCTTTTGATGTTGGGGTCTCTTTCTTAAAGCTGAACATGAGGAAAAAGGATACCCTTATTAGTCAGGGGTTGCTGGGAAACCTATCGGACCTGGACAAAGCAGGTATACTTGATGTGGTTAGGGTTGAAGAGATTGAGGTTTGGGGTTTCAGCGCGTTGGGGCTTTGGTGTGCAGCTCTGCCATGATCAAGTGCTACTCGTCATCACTGTTTACTCAATCATGCTTTGCTGCTCTCTGCTGCTCAAAGACGGCCGCTGCAGCGCGAGACGGACTGGACACTGGCTTTCACTACCCTTTTTGAACCCCAGCTCCCATCAAGCTTAGGCCGGATGGGAGCGAAGACACCCGACAGCATCTGGGTCGCTTTGGTGTCAGCTGGAGTAGCTAAGCTTACTCGAAAGGCTTATCTAGTTGGCACTTTCTCTTCGTTGTTTGGGCCGAGACCAGGCGAACGACCCACACTCCAATGGAATCATCACGTCCATACAGAACCTGACAGTATTTTGTCGCAAGCACCGGCCTTACTGGGAATTTTTAGCACGGACTACATGAGTTGCTGATAGCGACCCTAGGTTAAGATCCCCTTCTCTGCAGCAAGGAATGCTCTGACATTTTCCTTGAGCTGAACACTGACGCCCTGCCTCTGACAGCCATGATCTTCCCGGACCGCAAAGGCAAGGGTCTGGTACAGGTTAGTGTGGGAGTGTGGATAGCGGTTGTCATCAGAACTGCTAGCAGCATTTCTGCTTGAAATAATGTTTCTTTACCAGACATCTGGAATGAACAGCAAGGGATCTGTGTGGAATTAGTTCGCCCTATGACAGAACCAACACATGACGGTCGCCTTGCACCCCAGTTGGGCAGCCTCCGCTGTATTTCGTGCTCACGCACCTTTTCCGTGGCGTTGGTGCGGAGGACGTCGTCACTGTATGGTCTTACAGTTGGTGTGGGCGGCAGGTTCATATAGCCACCTTTTGCAGGACAGTACAGGACACTTTTGGGGCTTTTATGCTAGTGTTTGGGGGGTGCCTGTACCCTTCATAGCCTGGGGCTTAGGACAGATGCCTTTTGAGTTCGACGGTCTTAAGCAGGCTTCATGTTCTAGATATCCGTTTGGGGTTTTAGGAGCACACGCAGTCCGTGGAGTCTGGAGGCAGCCTCAATACACAAGTAAACTGTCGACAGCTTCTTGTGCGCGTTGTAGGGCGGCTTTTGTCGCGAGGGCCACGGTTGTTTTCAAAAGTCATGCATTACGCAGACATAGATTGTGGTGTTCCCCCTTCAGAGGCTGTGCTGCAGCGCTACGAAACTTACAGCCACCTGCCATCTCATGAGTACAACTCAACGGCAAAGTCCTGACACCTACAAATCCTACTCTTGAAGCTCTAAACCTTCTCACCCTCTGAAACCATGATCCTGCGGTAGAGGCAGATCTAAGTCGGGCGCTGACGCTCTGTGTAGCAAGGTTTAGCTTTTGGTCTATATTAGGGTTATATTGGGGTGATATTATGGTTATATTGGGGTTATATTAGGGTTATAATAAAGGGTTCAGGGGGCTTTATCATGTCATCCTGTCGGTGATGACAACCGATTGTACAATGTCCTGCTGGGGCTTTCAACGCAAATTGCTGTCCGCGCGGCAAACCCCGTGTAGCCGGCTCCAAGTCCCACAAGTTTGGGCTGCCATGGCTCACCACGGCTCATTGAGCCTATACAATCCCTACATGATATATACATACCCATACTTATATCTATATATATTGAGTACGTAATTATATATATACATATATATACATCTCTCTCTCTCTCTCTATGTATATTCCCTGATTCCCCGCTATCCTCAGCTAGCTTCCCAATGTTTTGATGACAGTCCAGCTCCATCCTTCAAGTTCACAGGCCGAGTGCCATGAAGGACTCCCCTTGTTGCTGTCAGAAAGATACTTCCCTAGTGACTGTTGTGGCACTTGTCGCTTGTGTTTCTTTGCAGATGTCCAAGACCGTTGCTGGCACTCCTACTATTGTCCTTCCTCAAATTGCTGTCAAATTTCGCTAGATAGACAGCAGTCTGGTCATGCTCTTTCTTTTTTGCAGCATGGCCAGTTGGCACTGCCACCTGCTATTCCATAGCATTCTGGTTCAAGTGGGGTGGGCCGGCCTGCATCTTGCTGCGCCGGCCATGACGCAGCTTAGCTGCCTTGGAGTGGTTGCTGAACTGTCTTTCTGTTCAAAGTGACTTGTGTTGGCGTTCTAAGTTCTAAGTCTAACTGCTAAAGCACACAGATCTTTCGCGGAGATGGGCTACGCCTGAAACATCGAAGACTTTTAGAATCCAGGCTTAGGTTGCAGGCTTTGAGACTTGCCGCTGATCAGCACTTCCTTGACCGCCCAGCTGCACGCAGGCTGTAACAGCTGCAGAAATACTAAACCTCAAGAGTGGCAACCACAAAACCCGACCTACATAGCATGACTCCGTGCTGGCCTGTTTCGCTTCGTGTTTGGAAAGAAGGTGCCTGAACACACAAGCATCCCGTACTTTTGGTATGGCACGTGAGCCCGTGAAGTGATGCCAATGCATCTATCTTGAGCTAGCTGCCGTCTACCCCTATTCTTGTCCAAGCATGAAGGGATCCCTGTTGAGGGTCCCTTACTCACCCTCCCAAACGGTCCATGTAGGTATATGGTATATACTTTGGGCCCAAAGGGGTTCCCATATACCTACTTTAAGGCCCAAGTATATCCCATATACCTACATAGACCCTTTGGGTTACTCACCCTTTGAGCGAAGGTACTACAATTTACCGCCGACCAAATTCGCCAATGAGTACAACGAGTTCGAGAAGCTCCTCCGGGCTTTTCGTCCAGGTTTCAGAATGCTCCTGTGATGTCTGTCGGCCAGGGGGTACGTCCCTGTCATATGGTGCTGGCATGCGTTTTTATGTGGCAAATCTGAGTGCCTCCACAAACAGGTGTTTGCAAGCTTGGCTTGTGGCAAGTTCCCTTTTCTAGTTTGCAAGGTAGTTAACAACGCTCCTACGGGTCGTGAACGTGCGCCGAAAGGTGCAGCTGATATGAGAGCATGCCAAAATCCCTGGCAGTCGTGGTATATTCGACATTCGAAATTCGGAGGATTCAAAGTGGTTGCCGAGCAAAGGGCATAATTGGCAGACAAATCCCGAAAATCAAGCTGCCGCTGTGGATTCGTGCGCATGAAGGCGGGAACGACGCACACAGCTCATTGTTTTACAGCTTGAGCCAGCCACTGTCTGTCTCTGAGTTGAAGAAGTCCTTTGGACCATGGCCTAGCGTGCGCCCAGCCTGGCTGTACACTGCTAGCGCCTGCACCACAGTCTTGGGGGATGCTTTCGCAGCCGCTGCGCTGACAAGACCGCATAGTCCATTGTTGCGGCATGGATGCTCTGGTGGCCGTATGCTCTTGGAACACGGACGGAATTAATTATGATTTGGGCATGGATGCTCTGGTGACCCTATGCTCTTGGAACACGAACGGAATTAATTATGGTTTGGGCATGGATGCTTTGGTGACCCTTTGCTCTTGGAACACGAACGGAATTATGGTTTGGGCATGGATGCTCTGGTGGCCGTATGCTCTTGGAACACGAACGGAATTATGGTTTGGGCATGGATGCTCTGGTGACCGTGTGGTCTTGGTTCACGAAATGAAGTATGGTTTCGGCATGGATGCTCCAGTGACCGTATGCTTTTGGAACACGAACGGAGTTATGGTTTGGGCATGGATGCTCTGGTGGCCGTATGCTCTTGGAACACGAACGGAAGTACGGTTTGGGCATGGATGCTGTGGGAAAACATACACAATTGGGTGGATGTTGTCGTGGTCACCGCGTGGATGCTCAGCGAAAAACGCCATGCGTGGTGGCAGCCGTGATTTTGAGGCCTCGGAAGGTCGCTAAGTGCTGTTCGTGCCATGCAGGCCAGTCCCGATGGGCTCAGACAGAAACGCTTTTTTTGCCCGTTAACGGCCCGTAGGAGCCTTTAACAGGACGCGAGATAGATCCCGTTTTGAGCCGTCAGCAAACAAGGCAGTACTGCAGCAATATGAAGTCCTTCCAAGGTCCTTGATGGTTAGCACGGTGCCATGACACGGCCCCCTCACGCCACAGTCGCTTTGCCCAAGGCCTTGCCAGTGGATGGTGCCATCAAGGCTTGTGGGCTTTGTATATCGTACAAAGACTTATAGATAGAGTATAGATACTTATAAATATATGTGTATATATATATATTTATAGGTAGACAGATACATATCATACATAGAATACATGTCACAGGTCTTATTATGTTTGCCTATATATATATATATATGCATGTATACATCCCATTCTGTTCAAATACTAGGACGGCGCGTGCCTGGACAATATACACCGAATGTACAGAATCTGTGGCTAGAGTGCAAGTCACGGAATGCCGGCTCTTGATTTTCCGGGTGTCATAATACTTTCCCACTTGTGGTTACAAGAGGCCTGCTCCTAAATCACGAAAATCCCAAACATGGAGCCCTAAACCCCCAAAACCTAAACATGACTTGAAGCCCCAAAGCCGTCACATATCTGACGAAGACCACTCTGCGGACTTGAGGGGAAGGATTCAAGAGTCTCTGGGCCTGAAGCAGAGGACACAGACACCCGTTTAAGGAATTGGCATAGCTTATACCCCGTGTTTGCACATGCGCTCAGCCTGTTTTCATGCCCTGAACAGACCTGCGGTACAGAGATGGCACAGGGCCGGGAGAGCTGCTGCAGATTGTAGAGTGTGGGTTTATATTAGGGTAATATTGGGATTATATTGGGGTAATATTGGGACTAATTATGTTAGGGTAACATTGGGATTATATTAGGGTAATATTGGATTAATTATGTTAGGGTAATATTGGGGATATATAACTATTGTTCTTTCCGCTTTGCCAAACACAGGCGCTTGACATGCTGGAGACCATCACCCGAAACACAGCACAGAACCCGCAGGAGCGGTCACATGAGAATTGGCGTCCGGGCTTAGGGAGACGTAGTGTTTTTTTTCCTCATTTGGGTCCGTTTTTGGGTTCGAATGGAGGGTAACAACATCAGGGAATATATTCCAAAGTTTGCATTCCCCCGGAAGCACACATCCAGTTAGGTGTAGCACGGCTTCATCCAGCCCCCCTTCAAACCCCCCATGGTGCCCAGATAGAGCCCCGTCCAAGCTGCACCATGCTTCTTTCCCAGAGGGTCCATGTAGCTGTAGGGTTTAGAGTAGGTATATAGTATATACATAGCACCCAAAGCTACATGGACTCGTTGGGTTCTTTCAGATGTGTACCAAACCCTGTCAGAGGCGCCTAGTTGCCGTGCTTCACTATTCCTAAACTCTCAGAGGCAAACTGCCAGACAGGGTGCTTATTTCAGGCAGGTCTTACTTGAGATATATAATGCCACATGAAATTTTCGTAGCCGGTGCATCTGAAGATCAGCTTGCCACCACTTTTAAAGCCGAAGCTGCTTCAGAAAACAAGCTACTGTATTCCGAAGAGATTGAGATGGTCACTTGCTCATCCGCATGCTGCCATTCGTCACATGTCCCCATCTATCCCTAACATGTTGCTGTCATCGAGGGATCCCAGAAACGCTCCCAACATTTTTTAGAAAAATCCCGCAGCCAACCCAACAGAACCTGCCCAGGAGGAGAAGTACAGGCGGGTCCGTACCACCAACGAGACTTGGCTGACCGTTTTCTTGGGGGGGAGGGGGTTGGCGTGTCGTGCGAAGGCTGCTAGGGTCCCTACATCCCACATAGTCGTGTGCGCAGTCGATGTATGTCAGGAACGGCCTTAGGGTTCTGATTGCGACGCAGCTGTTCATGACACGGTTTCTAGGTATGACCGGCACGTTACGTTTTCCATTTCGAAGCTCGTGTCGGCTGGCTTGAGGTGCTGGCAACGAACAACATACGTCTTGTTTTCGAAGCCAACCGAAAGCTCAAAGCCTCCATCTCGAAACTGTAGAAGACAGCTTTTCTTGCCGCGGCCTGAGCCCCTTAGCCGCAACCAACTGCTCAAAGCCCGACTCGCTTAGAATTTTCCGACTAACATTACTCAAGTATTTGGGCCACCAGTACAGAATTGGGGATAAAGATCCCTTCTATTGGGAGACAAATCTCTTTGTAGTTCCCGAAATAGGGGGACCCAACGATAGACCCCAAAATACTATATTTTTTTCATTGTGGGGAGCGCGGGAATTTACCCATTCTCAGACAAACGATGCGTCACCCTCAACCCTAAATCCTAACCCTGGGTCATGGCATGGCTGGGCTTTGCTCATGAGGCCTGGTCCTGAGCATCTCGGAGCAAAGCTTCCAGCTTTCCCTGGACAAATTCGGAGAGCCCCAATGCCCTTAACTTGCTGGTCCTGAGTAGGGAATAAGGGAATGTATTACATAAGGATTCTATAGGGGGCTATATTCCCTTCTTCCCCGGTAAGAACTAGTAAGCAAAACAAATTCGGAAAGCCCCAATACGGGGGTTTCCCGAAACTAAGGGTACCTCTTTGTGGGTCTCTATGATAAGGATAGTATTTTTCGGGGTCTCTATGGGGGTACCTTATTTTGGGGGAAGCTACCATACGTTTAAGCCTTAACTCGCTAAGCCCCAAACCCTAACCTCCAAACCCTAAACCCCAAACCTTAAACCCCAAACCCTGAACCCTAAATACTATAGTGGTTTCCATTTTCTTTCCATTATGCCCCAAGCCAAGGACAAGTTGTCTGTACTCTTCAGCCTTCCCGGGATTATCCCCGCGCCTCGTCTGTTCGGTATTTGACAAGTTTGGTGTGTTTGACGTGAGTTCTGTTAGAACCGTTCCTATCTGACGTAAGACTTGTTTCGTACGCAGCTGTACGTGGCCAGGTTTCTAGACATATAGGGCTTTGGTGCTTCTAGATGTTGATGTTCTGGTCCTTTTTGTTGAGTAAGGGGTCACAAGGATGCATCCTGGTATGTCAGGGTGGGTACGGAGGGCACCCGGAACAACCACCTTGTGGCAACTGACGAAGCCCTTCAGTTCATGGGGATCAGAGCTTTTCATGCGCTGGTTTGTATTGAAGCATCTTGAAAGGGTGGAAGCCTTCTTCTTCTTCGAGCCAACGTAGCCGACAAGCGTGTAGTGCTGCAAGCTCACGTGAGGCTTCTCGAACTGATCCTCATAGTAGAGCTCCTGAGGAGACCCCCAGCATACCTCAGCATTCCCTGCGCATCCATCATGGGTTCCCTGGGTACCCAATTTCTGCGAATCTTTTATACACCCCGGTCCGA